ATGACAGTAACTGCTGACAAATTACCTTGTTTTAAATATCTCCACAGCAATACCTGAACTTTCTCATATAGAGTAAAATTTAATGGTTCAAATGGTTATGGACGAAATATAAGAAGCTTTCGCTTAATAGGCTTCCGTGTCTAGTAGCAGGGGATCGCCAATACATCCAGGCAAGAACCTAGGTATATTAACGATAAAAGAGAAAGAAAAAAGAAATCGGTAAATCGTAGTAAGATACTATCCTTAGTCCTTAAGAATAGATCAAGTCGCCTCTTAAAGGACTCCTGGGAAGTCGCTTGAAATAGCTCAGCTGGCAGCGAATTCCAGCATTTGACAACTCTTAAGGAGTAGAAGTTGTGCCTGCAGTCCGTTCTACTATGTTGTATCTCTAATTTCTGGGTGTTACCCCTTAGGTTAGTGTTGGGACTAAGCTTGAGTAGATGTTTAAGAGGATCTCCAGGAGTGTTAAGGATACTGTAAGCCATTAGAAGGTCACCTCTAAGACGCCTATACTCTAATGGGTAAAGGTCGAGTGATTGGAGGCGCTCATCGTAAGGTTTAAATTTGAGTCCTCGAACTGATTTCGTGGCTCGCCGTTGGATACGCTCCAGAGTGTCCTATCCTTTTGGAGTGTAGGAGGGAATACTATGTTTCCGTACTCTAAATGGGGACGAATAACACTGTTGAAGATTATGTGGAAAGTTTTCCCGTCAAACTGGTCAAAAATGCGCTTCAATGTTACCAGTGCAAGGTTTGCTCGAAAGGCATTTCTGTCACATTTAGCGTAAGACTTTAAGTCGTAGGGTACCAGCACTCCTGAATCATTTTCAACTGAGGATACTACTGGAAATGAGTTTCTTAAGTTGTAACTGTAGTCTGCGACATGTCGCAGATGGACTACTTTACACTTTGGAGTGTTAAAGGTAAGTCCGTTGTCGTCTGTCCTACTTTGAAGTCGAGTCAGATCCTCCTGAAGTGCCTGTATGTCCTCTTGGTTGCGTATCTCTCTCCAAAGTTTTACGTCATCGGCAAAGAGCAATATGTCTGACGTTACCTGATGAGGAAGATCATTTATATAAATCAGGAAGAGAAGAGGTCCTAGTACTGAGCCCTGATGGACCCCACTAGGACATTCCATAGCCTTTGAGAAATTAAAGTTTACTCTGACCTTAAAATGTCGATTTGTCAGATATGAACTGAGCCAGTCAATTAAAGGAGGTTTGATACCCAATTGTTTGAGCTTGTTAATAAGACAGATGTGGTTAACCCTATCAAAAAGCTTTTGAGAAATCAAGGTAAATGATGTACACCTTCCCCTTGCGATCAACGATGCTTGTCCATCTGTCCACCGCAGTCAGCAAGTTCGTCATACAGGAGTAGCCCTTTCTGAAACCATGCTGTTGGGGTGAGAAGAAATGTAAGGACAGCAGATAGTCGTGTATACCATCGTATACCAGGGACTCCATGATCTTTGAAGGTATAGAGAGAAGAGCCACTGGTCGGTAACTTGAAGGTTCGCTGCGTCGACCTCCCTTGAAGATCGGTGTGATATGAGCCAGCTTCCAAATATGCGGTAGTTTGCCTTGACTTAGCGAGTGTGAGAACATCACGCTAAGCGGTGTTGCCAGGATCGAAGCTGCTTCCCTCAGTATAGCAGAGTGGACCATGTCTGGACCAGGAGAAGTGTCTGTTCTTAGGTGTTGTACTTTACGAAGCACCAAGTCGACACTCAGTTGCACTACGGAAAGTCCTATGCAGTTGCAGATGAAGTTGCCGTGAGTATAATTGATATGGGTCTGTTGAAATGTCTGGGAGTATTGCCCAGCCAAAAGGTTAGCGGCGTCACCGTCATTATCGGTCGAGTCGTTAGAACCTAGCAGTTGGGAAACTCCAGTTTTGGCTTGACGAAGAGAGGCTGCATAGCGGAATAAGGTTTTCGGATTGGAGACAAATTTATCCATAAGCTTTATCTGGTACTGAAGCCTGTCTTCTCTTATAGCCTTCGTGCATATTTTCCTTATATGTTTTTATTGCCTGTACTCGCCATTGTTGTTGGTTCGTTTGTATTCTGCCCAACAGTGCCTTTTACGGCTAAGCAAACGAAGAGTGCGGTTTTTGATGATTGTAGGTTGCATGTGGCTTTTGGGGACCGTTTGAGGGACTGACTGCTTTGTAGCACCTAAGAGCGTATGTAATAGGAAGTTCCAATGAGCATCCATATCATGTTAAGGGTGAACATCCCAATCAACCTGTTGTAGATTGTCCTGTAGATTTTGATGGAGTTTTGTTCTCCGAGCTGGATGGTTTGATGGTGGAGCTTTCAGCGTCCTTCTGAACGACATCATCAGCACAAACTTCAGATAGAAGTGAAGTGCTCGTATTTCTCCATATGCGTTTCACAGCTTGTTCTGTACACCTCGATTTTGATTGGTTCTAATTTACCTTAAATTTGTCATTGTTTACCGTTTTGTTTTGGTTTTGTCTTCTATTGGTTTGATTCTTGTTCCTATGTTTGTGCATCAGTTTCCTGATTGGTTGATAAATTGGATCGATTTCAATATGTTTGTTGATTGCGGATTGAGAGGGTCCTGTAGAGCAGACACATTCAACCGTTTGAAATTCCAGAGCCCGTTGTTGTTGGGATATCTTAGCTCAGTTTTGCTTACAAAACTGAAGGCTATAACGGCGTGATCACTTTTCCCAAGGGGAGCCAGAATTGAGAGGTTGTCGACTAGAAATTCCCCGTTTGTAAAAACACAGTCTAACCGCGACGGTGTCTGACTGTTCCTCCAACTAGTTGCCGACTTCACATTTTCGTACAATCCCGAATCCTCAGTGAGGTTGAAGAACAGAGCTTCGATTGAATTTTCACCTCCAATATACGTTTGTTCCGCGAAATTGACTCTAGGGAGATTGAAGTCCCCTAGAATCAGGATATGAGTGAAACCGAGACGCGTAGAGCGGGATAATCCTTCCAGCATACGACTGTCTTACTCGATGTTGGCAGTAGGCTTCCTATATATGACTCCGAATAGGCACCTCGAAGTAGTAGACAATCTTACAGAGCACCATATGGATTGCTCATGATTGTTAGACTCATGATTGTGAACTCGGTGTACCTCCAAGCCTGATCGTATGTATACGGCTACTCCACCCCCAATTCCTGTTTTTCTGTCGTTGCGAAACAAAGACATCCCAGGTATTGCTAGCTCCTGTTCCGAAGACTGACAAGATATCCAATTTTAAAATATTCTTATCAGATGAACCTTATTAGCATTGCTAAGTTGACCTAGCCCATCCATTTTGCTTGGTAGACTCGCGGCGCTCATGTATAAGCAGTTAATGCTTTCAATTTGAAGCGCGCGAGCTTCTTACTGATTGTCTGTATGAACCATACGTGAGTGGACAGGTAGCCTACCCATATAAGGTTTCCCGAACTGGTAGGCCCTGTCCTTTACACTTTTTTTCTTCAAGACAGTTCGCAAGTGGAATGGTCAGCTCCAACTTAACTTTGTGCTTGATCCTGGCATCATATGGCCTGTCCGGGTGCATATGGGTCCCAGTTGGCAACCGACGTCTGTTGGCACGAAATGATTCCAGAGCTGCGGCCGCCATATGGAAGGACTGGAAGGTTATCCTTATTAGTCGGGGTCTAGAATCACCGTCCTTCTTGGCTAGTCTCGTCACATGTTGAGTCAGTATGTTTATGAGCCTCAAGGACTGTTTGATGAATTTCCATTCCCGAATGTCAGAGTTTGCTTGACTAGGGTCCGTGTTTTCCAATAGACCTTGCACCATGATATTTCATCTGCGGAGAACCTTGAGGGACGTTCCGGATGAGATTGCGCTCAGAATAAGGTATGTCGGACGGTATTCTGATGTTCCCATCGGATTTCAGTAGATGTCTAGCTAGCAGGACATCCTCAACTTCAGTAGCATTCTTGAGTGTTGCACAAAGTAGTCTCGGGTGATTTTGATTCTTAGATTCCTTTCCCCGAGTGAGCCGTGTGACCGTCAAGGACTCTATTCTAGGAAGTTCAAGCTTCTTGTCTATTTCACCCCGGAGCATCCTGTCATTTTTGTCCTAAAAACTGAGAGGAAGGTCAGGGTTGTCTTTGAGGTCCATGATTATGAGAGTGTCATAGCGAACCGTTATTGTTTTCCCAGGTTTTCCGGTGGGTTCAGGTTCAACATCTTGTTGTTTGGAGGTCGAAGCAGGTTTCTGAATCCTAGGCTTTTTGATGACCTGATGGACATTCTTGGGGGTAGACTGTGCGATCAAATCAGCAGTTGATTTCCGTACAACACTTGAGATGTTCAGCTTAGACGGTGACTCCTGTTCCTTTTTAGCTGTATTAGCGTGGGTCCAACCACCTAGAGAGTTTTTGGGAACCACTGTTGCGTTTAAAGACCCTGAGCTGGGAAACCTGAGCTTACTGAGGGAGTCTATTACCGTCGACGTAATGATAGTGCTGAGTTTCAACATGTCATCATTAGAGCTAATGCATGCTCCATCGATGGTAGACCTATGGACATTCCTATTCTTGTTTTCGTTACGTGCCTTTGTTTGTCTACCTGCTTTATGACTGTCTTTTTCCAAGTTTGCTGACAACTTATTCCGTAGACCTGTCATTAGAACAATGATGTTACTCAGCAAAACTACAGCATCCGTGCTGCACGTAACACATACCCACTTATGATCCAACTTGCTGAATCTGTTTTAAGCAGTTGCTGTGAGATCTGTGCACGCTTCTTGGAACCAACCTTTTCAGTTGTCGCACTGTATGCCAGATGTAACAGCGAAACGGCATCCAGGTCGTGCGCATGAATTAGCCAAATCATGAAAAATAAACTCTGTGATGAAAGGGTTCTTTGTTTGCACGTGTAAAGTTGGACGTATGAAGTTGAACTATTGTTTGTTTTTTCGTTCTAAAGTCTCAACGTTAGGGTTTGGCTGTTTAGCGTGCAAAGATTGATTTGTTGAGTATCAGCGCTGTATTATGGTTTTGTTTATGTTCGCTTACACGTCTATTTTGTTTGCCACCATTCCCATACTGTACCGAATTCCAAAAGTACAGTACTATGTCAAATTTTCTGTTCTCTGTTTATTGATCCTTATTGGGTCATTTATTTATTCTATTCGAATGGCTTTCAAAGGCCGAGGATATGAAAATGCTTGGTAATAACTTTTCCCTCATAACGTTTCAAGGATGTTTGTAAGATATCTAGCATTTTCTGGAAGGATGGTTGGCTTGAATCCTGTTGTCGAGGACGACCATCTTCTGTCTGTGGAACCATGTATTTACGTCTTGAATCATCAAAGTTGCATCGATGTAACAAGTACGCATCCACACAGATTCTTACTTCCTGTGACAATTTAGGTGTGGGAGACATATGGCCAAAACGCTGCACAGTAGTTTCCAAGGCTTCACTCAAACTCATGGGCTTTTTGGGAATAATTATGTGGCTGAGCAAGACTATTTCCATTGATCGATCCCATCATACTGATGCCATTTCTGCCATGGAGAAAGCTGCTATAGCGGCCAAACGAGATAAGGTAAATGCTTTTCATTTTGACTTCCAGTAGGTCTCGGTTTTCATTTTTCCTGAGGGAACAAGATCCGATGCCGATTATCTTTTGCCCTTTAAAAAGGGCGCATTTCACATGGCCATCGAGTGTCAAGTAATACCTGATATTACTTACTAAGTTTAAGTTTCCGATTCAACCTATTGTTATTGAACCGTATGCAAAGTTCCTCGACCACAAGAAGAAACTTTTTAAAAGTGGTGAGTTTATTTTCAGGAGTAAATTGACGAGTGAGGCTATGATTTATGGACGACCTTTGAGTGACTGTAAAATGACTTTGCGAATGTCCATCAATTTACTACAGCTAAATGAGAGTTATAAACCTGTGTAAAAAATAAAGATTGATTTACATGTAATGGCTACAGTTAGGAATTTGCTTTAGGGTTTTCACGACTGACGTCAGCTAAAATGCTGAACGCTATTTAGCCAAATATATGAATGAATCTCGCGCCAAAACTTATTAACCTAAATGAGTCTCGCCAATTGACGAATAAAAAGCACTTCCATTTATATATTTTTATTCTATATTTGAGTTGAAAGCCGAGAGTTCTCATCCATTTTTTAGTTGCATTGACTAGGTCAATTTGGTTTTAATTTATGCTCCTGAAAATGGGAAAAACTCTGTTTTGACACACTTGTGTTTTATTTGGGTCGTTTTAGGGTGACCGCTGGGTTTATTCAAATATAAACTTTCTAATTCTATAAAGGATTATAATGCCACCTTGTTAAGAAGTAGTAGACAGTGGTGCAGTCACTTTCAAAAAGCTTATCTGCTTGAGTAATCCAGTAATGAACAAATGTATGAACGTATATTCTTTTCAATAATTTCTTATCAGGTTCTACAATTATAAATCCAGATTATAAATTCAAATTAATAATCCATAGAATTGGCCAGATTTAAGGCAGAGTACATCATTTGGAAATTGTAATATGTAAATCAAGGAGTGTTATTTGTTATATAAAATCGAATCAGATTGTTAATGTTGGAGCTAGCTGACTAATATGAAGTGTTAACTTGAATCAGCTTATAAGCGAAATGAAATTGTGCGATAAATAATCTGAATAAATATAGTCAACATGGGGTGAGAGAAAAAATTATGGGATAAAAATCGGAAGTTACGTAATATGTGGAATAATATGAATTAGGTCAGATATAGTAGATTTAAGGGCCTTGAATCTGGCCAATTCTATGGATTATTAATTTGGTTTTATAATTGTAGAACCTGATGAGAAATTATTGAAAAGGATATTTTTCGTTCATACAATTGTGTTTTAATATAATGGGAATTTTTCGGCGATTATAATCCAGTAAACTAAGTATTTGTTCCCACCCGTTTGACCATATTTTCAACTCGCTACATCTATTTCATTATTAGCAGTCGTTTCGTACATTTATGCATAACACAGCAAGTATGTAGTTTGTAGGCATAATGGACACACCTAGCAAAATAACTCAAATGTAGATTCACTTTATGATCAATGAACTCGGTAAAAGTTATGAAAGACTCGTTGGTACTTATGCTGAAAAACGATATTTTTAGCTCTGTTCTTATTTTACTAAATGGCATTGTTTTGATAGTGTTTCTCACGTTTGGTATATGACCGTAGGGTTAATCATGAACTCTACATTTTCCAAACCACACGTTGTTTGCGGACACTCGGGCTGCTTATGAAAACGAACGGGTTAGTTTGTGACTCCGTATGATGGAAAATAAGTGTGTAAAACTGGGACCTATCAGAATCTTGAGTGAGTTTTAGAGATCATTCAACCCTCCAACCTGAAGCATTGTCAAACATACCTTATAATAGTAACCATCGACAATACTGCTGAAACTCTGTCGTATTCATAAGAGCAGAATGAACCTTGTTCATTGATATATGTGTTCACTGTATTTTCAATTCATCTGCATTTTAACAGTTCTTGTTCATTTTATTAGTCGTACGATTCCCCTTCTATTTTTTCGGGATTTTGTTCAGCCTTGCGTGGGGCATTTTTCAGTGCTCTATTACATTAAAAGTTTTCTGTTATACGTGGATGTAGGTTGAAGATATTAAATCAGTAATTGGTTTACATTAGTCTTGATTACGCAACTAAATGTACCTTTACTAAAGCTCAGGTCAGCTGCGAAACATGGACATTAAGAGTTGAAGATACTCGTAAGCTACTAGTATTTGACCACAGATGCCTTAGAAATATTGCTGGCATCTGCTGGGATCACCGGGTAAGTAATAGTGAGATTAGACGCAGGGTATTAGGGAATGATGGAAAATCAGTTGATGAGGTTATGAATCTTCATCGACTGAGATGGTTGGGCCACGTGCTGCGTATGCCTGAACACCGATTACCACGACGTACATTGCTAACCGGTGTTGGGGATGGTTGGAAGAAAGTTAGGGGCGGCCAAACCAAAACGTGGCATCAGTGCTTGAAGTCACTAACTCCTGGTCTGAGCCATGTTGGTAGATGCAGACTACCTGGTTGGGGTCCGCGTGACTATCGTAACCAATGGTTGGAGACTCTTGGTGACATGGCTCAGAATCGATCACAATGGCGTCGCTGTATACACTCTCTGTCTTCCTTTAAACTAAGAGATTAAAATCACTTCAAATCTTTCTTTCTACGAACTAATTCTATCTTCCTGTACTATCTCCTTATACACACTCTTTCTTCTATATATTACCACCACTGAATTAACTACTTCTATGAATCCGGTGTTCATCTTGTTGTGCTAATGCGGTATGGCAACTTGGACCGATGCATATACGTGCCTGGTCCTACGTTGTAGCTGACTGACTGAGGTTAGCTGCGTAATAGGTATTTTTAACTACTGAGTCTTCTGTATTGAGTTCTAGGACAAACCTATATCCATTTTATCAACTATCTGGACAAGAATTTTACCTAATTACATGCATTATCTGTAGGTGCTGATCTTAAAATCCGGGCTCTTCATTGCCTAGGTTGTGTCGTTGGCACTAAGTAGCGAGAGTAATTATGTATTAACCACTTCCAATCGACCTTTGTTTTTGTACCTTGAAAGTATGTGTAATATGATGAGATGAGTGTTCATAACTTGATGAAGCTCAAAACAGACTATATACATCACGTATTAACATTACCTATACAGTATTTATTCAATCATCTGGTTTTTTGTTCAGAGCTTGCAGTAGTAGTAAATAAGTGGTTATGCATATGTAAATTGGTTTGCATCAAACTACATTCGATTATTTTCCTGTTCAAGAAACTAAAAAGTTAGAATATTTAAATTTCAAAATGATAATAACATCGTTCATGTTTGTTTTTATAACTCAGCCACTTACAAAGTGAAGGTCCTACCGAAAATTGACACTAAGGGGATGAATAAATCACAAGTTGATCAACTTCTCAATGAAACTCGTGAAAGAATGGTTGCTGCATTTGAAATGATGAAAGGAACAATTTCAAACTGAATGCATGTTTTATACTTATGAGTCATATACTTTTATTAGTTCATTATGATGAGCAATAATTGTTTTTATTTTCGTATCTAAATTTACAAAATCAAACTTCCCAACTGGTAATCTATACTAACTTAGTACCCTCCGTCCGAAAACATTTTAGAATGATTTATGTACTCCCGAAACCATAAGAATTATATTGAAATATGAAGTGCTTCATTTTAGTGTTTTCTCTATTTTGAATAACAATAAAAGAGTATTGAGTACTCTTGCACAGGAATAGAGTGCTGATTCTTAATGATGAGTATCTACAAAGTTTGAATGTACGGGAATGGAATAATAGCGGTGACTAAGTAATCATGAAAAAATTTTTCTCCTGAAGGTATCTGGTTATGACAGGATCATTCGGCGACAAGCCTAGTCATGCTCTTATTATATTTAGTCAGTGGTATAATACCTTTTTTGTATATTTAATACATTGACTGTACGTACAAATAATAAATAAGCAATTTACCCTTGAGGATATGATTTTGAAATCATCAACTAAGTAGTTATCCTCCGTTTAAATTTCCATTGTTGAGATATTTTTTTACTTTTCATCTTGTTAATTTTTGCTCAGCTTGTTGTAATATGCCATATACTAAAACCATATTGGGCGTTCGTCCCAGATTGTACTCTAATGATTAACTCGCATTTGTATGAAACTTGTAATATTTCATCTTTGTTCATTATTTTAATCACGAAAGAAAGAAAATATACACCTATGTGATCATTCAACCAGATTAGCTTGTCATACAAACTTAGGTGGTTTTTGTCCACTTGTATTGACTACGTGTAGAGAGTTCCTTTGGAATTTAGTTTATAACAAACATACATCTATTTAGATGAAGGATCCGTTTTGTAAGGTTTAATCTCTAGTTTTTATTTATGCTAGATGTAAATAAAGTTATCCGAAGTATGTTTAATTAGTACTAGTTCTATTATTTTTTTTTTCACTATCGCTAATAATCAGTTAGAGGTAAGTCATCTGGGCCTGGTGATTTGTAGCGCTTCAAGTGTTGGGGTTCTTCGCGGACTTCCGTCTTGTTTTGTGGTTTAGTCGTGATCAGAGTTTAAATGAGCACCTCGAAAGGAGTGGCAGTCCTGTACACAAGCACGCTAGCGGTAGCTCATCATGATATTGTCAGTGTAAGTCCAGTTTTAAGATACAGAGAACTATTTAGTGCTAGCCAGAAACAAGTTGTAGTCTGCGCAAAGTCGCAGTAGATAGCCACCGTTGTCTGACCTGCGACCAAAAAGTTTCCATTGGCTACCTAATTAACTTCTGTGCCTAGACGCCCGAAATTCTCATTCGAGTCTCCGGCTAGTACTACTATATCTATACTTTTAGCTTACTTCGCGTATATAGTTTGTTATATAAGTAATCAAACAAAATATAATCAGCTTAATAATAATGCATATTTCGGTTACTAAACAAAGATATTTCGATACTACGAGAATATAAATTATCTCCCTGCTAGTGTAGTTTTTGCAAATCTCAGCCAGCACACTATGAATTTAGATTATCCGAATATCGCATAGACTGACTGGCATTTCACCTTGGTACCAAGTTGTTTTGCTGTATCTTATTTCAACATCTGGATAAGTCAGTCAGTCAGCTGCAACGTAGGACCAGGCACATATATGCATCGGTCCAAGTTGCCATACCGCATTAGCACAACAAGATGAACACCGGATTCATAGAAGTAGTTAATTCAGTGGTGGTAATATATAGAAGAAAGAGTGTGTATAAGGAGATAGTACAGGAAGATAGAATTAGTTCGTAGGAAGGAAGATTTGAAGTGATTTTAATCTCTTAGTTTAAAGGAAGACAGAGAGTGAATACAGCGACGCCATTGTGATCGATTCTGAGCCATGTCACCAAGAGTCTCCAACCATTGGTTACGATAGTCACGCGGACCCCAACCAGGTAGTCTGCATCTACCAACATGGCTCAGACCAGAAGTTAGTGACTTCAAGCACTGATGCCACGTTTTGGTTCGGCTGCCCCTAACTTTCTTCCAACCATCCCCAACACCGGTTAGCAATGTACGTCGTGGTAATCGGTGTTCAGGCATATGTAACACGTGGCCCAACCATCTCAGTCGATGAAGATTCGAAATCTCATCAACTAACTTACCATCATTCCCTAATACCATGTGTCTAACCTCACTATTACTTACCCGGTGATCCCAGCAGATGCCAGCAATATTTCTAAGGCATCTGTGGTCAAATACTAGTAGCTTACGAATATCTTCTACTCTTGAAGGCCAAGTTTCGCAGCCGTATAATAGAACGGAACGAACTGCCGCGCAGTATACTCGTCCCTTAATTGATAGACGGATATCTCGCCTACGCCATAGATGACGTAAGTTGGCAAAGGCCAAGCGAGCTTTTCGAATCCGTGCTGAGATTTCGTCAGACACCAACCCATTAGGGCTGATCAGACTTCCAAGATACGTGAAGTTGTCAACGCGTTCGATTACTTCACCCCCTATCATTAGTTCAGGTGTTGACGCAGACCAGTCTTGAAGCAACAACGTGCATTTGGAGAGAGAGGGGCGCATCCCAAACATTCTGGCATTGTTGCTCAGTGCTGCCAAAAGACTCTGCATTTCATCAGCGTCTTCACTAAACAGGACTATGTCATCTGCGTAATTTAAGTCAATAAGTGGACCTCCTGGTACAAGATCAGTTCCCAAAAATCCAGTCGATGAGAGCGTTATTTCCATCAGTAGATCTATGATGAAGTTGAACAAAAATGGAGAAAGTGGACAGCCTTGGCGGACGCCACTTGAGGTTGCGAAAGCAGATGACAGTTCGCCATAAGCTCTCACTCGACTAGTAGTGTTCGAGTAAAGAGCTTTCACAAGGTTTATGTACTTCTAAGGTACGCCTTTCAATGACAGACACTGCCACAGAACCTCTCGGTCAACAGAGTCAAATGCTGCTTTTAAATCAAGGAAGACCACCATTGTCGGACGCCGATAAGTATGCCTGTGTTCTAGAACCTGACGAATGGTGAATATGTGGTCGATGCAGCCACGACCAGGTCTGAAGCCAGCCTGATTTTCACGTGTTTGCAGTTCACGAGTCTTAGTTAGGCGTCCGAAAATTATCGAAGCTAGTATTTTAGATATTATATTAGTTAAACTAATCCCTCTGTGGTTGTCACAGGATGATTTTGACCCTTTCTCAAATATTGGGACGATAAGTGATTGTGACCAGTTAGATGGGATGACGTCTAACTCCAAGATTTTAGCTAAAATATTAGTCAACCTAATCGCTAAAACTAGACCACCATCCCTAAAGACCTCTGGGGCCAATCCATCTGGACCAGCTGCCCTTCCTCGTTTCAGATTAGCTATAGCCTTTTGAACTTCAGCTAGAGTTGGAGGACCTACTTCAATGTTCCATTCATACTGTCTGGGAATAGGGGGTAGTTGTAGAGTAGCTGAAGGCCAGTTAAACTGCTCCTCAAAATGTTCCGCCCATCGTTCTAAACGTCTGGACTGGGAGCAGATGAGAGTGTCGTCTTTTTCCGAAATAGTCTGACTTACACTTGATTTATTAATTCCAGTTTATTTTATTAGTCTGTAGAGTTGTCTTGTGTTCCCTATAGCCGCCGCCTTTTCCATCTCTTTTGCTTTCGTTGCCCACTATTGCTCACGATCGTTCCTTAGACTTTTGCTTAATCTAGATCTGATTTGTTTACGCTCTTCATCGTGTTCAGACCCTGATGGAATGAGTTTACGAGAATCTATCAGTGCAATAGACCTTGAAGAAATCCACTGGTTCTTTGTAACCCTGTGGTTTAAATCACTAGTAGATGTCACTGATGTTTCCACAGCTGCTTGTATGTCTTTCCAAGCAACATCTGGGTCAGCTTCGTTTTCAGAACTACCTAAGTGTGACCTCAGTTGTTCCTGGAACCTACTTTTGGTTTTCTCATTACTCAATTCGGTTCTAATGAGTCTTTTTTGTGTGGCTTTTTTGCGTCCAGTGAGGCGCAAGCAGATGCGTGCTCGTACTAGGGCATGGTCGGAGTCCAAGCAGGTACTCCAGAATGAGCGGCAATCTTCTATCGACCCTCTCCAACGATGACTGATGGCAATATGGTCTATTTGAGTCCATCGTAGGTTTGGTGCAGGGGGTTGTTGCTACCTTGACGTGATGGTCGGGCTTGCCTATCGTGATGAAGCAACTGAGCTATACTGGCTGGAACAACCGTTCCTCAAGGTCCTACCATGCCAGACAGGTCGGTTGAAGAGCGGCAAGACTAAAAGCAACAAAACCAAGGTCCGAAGGCGAAGTCGTACTGCTGACTGTACAGAGGTGTGACAGCAGTAAGGTGTTTCCTTCAGACAACTAGCATAACAGCGATGCTGCCTTCCCAAAAGGAGGGTTGGGGTTAGAAAAGGTCGACCCTAAAAATGCATACCTCGCCTTATCCCATGGATATCCGTCTCCGGCGGTAAGGTCTCAACAAGTACGGAGCTAACACAAAGATTACTCATAAAAAGGTACTGTGTGACCGACCTCAAGCAGCTGTCCCTTGGACACTGCGGTCACGCTCTCAGGTCACTATGACCACCTCTAATCCAATTTCCTTTTCAGGTACCTCTAGCAGAACCCTTCCACGGTGTGGGCAACCGGGAAGTGATAACCGTCCTCATACCTCTAACATCTGGATAAACATACTCTTGATACTGTGTTCAGGTTATGTCTTAGTCACTCACTAAGAAGTTATGCTTTTTTGGTTACACGATACATATCCCAGCCTAAATTATTGAAGGTTTTCAGGTTTGAGATTAGGTATAGAGATAATTACTTCATTATCGATATTTCATATAATTACAAAGTATTTAAAGCTTACATTGCCATTAGTATTTGAATCAATAGGTTGTGTGGTGGCTCCATTATTGCTAAGTAATTTCTTACATTTTCCTCCGATCCGTCACACAGCTTGATTG